TTTATTTTAGCATGAATGCATATTAAATGGCTACAATACTGATGAGTTGGGTTTATGCATGATTTTGAATTTTATTTTATTTTATAAAATTTTGAAGATTTATATAACTGTATTATATATATTTTTGATCAAATAAGAACCTCTCCTCCCATGACAATCTGCCAACCAACATGGTACACGTACAAGCCTCTATATAAATGCGCATAAACTAAACCATTGTGTGCATTTATATTTATGTACAAGTTCTCAGATTCTCGTTGGAACATCAGCATATATATATATATATATATAGAGAGAGAGAGTCGAGTTCAAGTGTGGCGACCCCTTCTCGTATGGTTGTGTCACGTACTGTTTTCAAAATACACCAATAATTAAGTAAAATATACACCATCAACGTTAGAAAATGCACTATAGAAACACACACAAATTAGGTACGCATCACCAACAACACACCATTAAGTATGACTAAAAGCACCACAAAGTGTTCAGAAATACACCATTAGTGGTAAGTAGGTATATAGTATACTTTTTTGGGTGTGTTGTATATTTTTTAGTATATTTTAGCATTTCATTGTTTTGTGTTTCTCTTACACAAGTAGTATATAATGTTAACACTATTCATGTATTATGAAAATCGCCCTACGACCGCACGGGAGGCCCGCCGCATTTGAACTTTTTTCTATATATATATATATATATATATCCTCAACCTTCATCATCCCATGTAACACTGACAGAATTGTGTGTGTGCATGTGTCATGTGACTTCTTCTCCCTTGTCCCATGGCAGTTGGCTTTCTTCCCACCAAAAGTTAGACACAAAAAGATACCAATTTATTCTATGAAGTTGAAAAATCTTTTGGTCCACCCCATATAGAAATACCCAGTTTCAAATCTTCAATTTATACGCCTTCCTCTCGTCTAAAAGCTGATCATCATCAACATTTTTCATCAATTTAGGCAACCAAGAAACCAGAGATTGTGATAGAAGAGAGAAAGCAGGAGAAGATGGGGAGAGACGACTGTGAGGATTTGCGGAGGTCGGTGAAGAAACTGCACTTTGGGAGCTGGGAGGAGAAGGAGGTGGCGGCGGCGGAGATTAAGAGGCTGGCGAAACAAGACTTAAGGCGGCGGAAATTCATGGCGGAGCTGGGCGTTATTCCGCCGTTGGTGGATATGGTCGGCTCTGAGGTGGTGGCGCGGCGGAGGTCGGCGGTTCAAGCGTTGATTGTCCTCGCGCATGGATCTTACACGTAAGTTAATTTATTGTGTTTGTTTGCCCACACCCCAAAATTACTACACCCGACAGAATTATGGAGGGATAAATTATATAATTAGTTGCCCATTAAGTGAGATGGTTAGTATCTGGTGTACACAAGAAGTGACCCTTACATTGTCCACCGTCATGACTCGATTCATATACCAAAATTCCTCATAAATTATGAAAAGATAAATTATTTGATTAGTTGTCCATTAGATGAGAGAATCAGTATTTTGGTATTTACAAGGAGGGTGAAGTTCTTACATCGTGCCATCGTCTTAATAATCAACTGAGTTAACTGTGTGGGGACTATTAATCATGTTTGTTAATTACTAGGATTTTTTTTTAATTTTTAATTTTTTAATGTTAAAAATCATGGTTTTGAGTTCAAATTAAATACGAGGTCATGGGTTGTCATACTTCGACTTCTGCAGACAAGTTATTTAATTATAACGTTGTCACACAGATCTGGTTTCAAGAATCTTGTTGACTTCTTTATTCAAATTTTTTTTTTTTTCTGGGGTTTCCTATATGATGGGCAAACTCCATTATTTTCAGCTTCCCCAGATTAAACAACTGGGATGGTCTGACAACTTCAAAAATTTGTGTTTATTTATTTATTTTTTTGGTTCTTTATTTTTAATGACATTGGTTTTTCTTGGTTCCCATTTTCAGGAACAAGGCTCTAATGGTGGAAGCAGGAATCTTATCAAAATTACCTGAGAAAATAGATGTGACAGAAGAATTAATTAAGCAAGAGTTTTTACAGCTTCTTCTGTCTGTGTCATCATTAGCTAGGGATAGCAGCCAATTCCCAGTGATAAACTCATCAAGAATCATACCATTTGTTGTCAGCATTCTTGAGACGACATCGAGCAATGAGACCAGAGGTTTATGTTTGGAAACATTGTACATTTTGTCCTCAGTTCTGGGGAATTCAGGAATCTTGGTCAGAAATGGGGTGGTGGGTGTTGTGTTGAGGCTGTGTTCATTAAGAGAGGTATCAGAGAAGGCCCTGGCAGTTGTGGGGAACTTGGTTGTGACCCAGACGGGGAAGAAAGCGTTGGAAGAGAATCCGTGGGTGCCCGAGGGCTTAATCGAGACGATGGCACGATGGGAGGAGAAGCCGAAATGCCAGGAGTTAGCAGTGTATATTTTGATGATCTTAGCACACCAGAGTTCAGCACAAAGGGAGAAAATGGCGAAGGCTGATATCGTTCCGGTCCTGCTTGAAGTGGCCTTGTTGGGTAGTCCTTTGGGTCAGAAAAGGGCACTGAAACTGCTGCAATGGTTCAAAGATGAAAGGCAGAGGTCTATGGAGCATCACTCCGGGCCTCAGATGAGAAGGAACTCGACGATGGGTTCGCCCGTTCATCCTAAAGCCGACGAGGAGGGGAAGAGACTGCTGAAAAAGATTGTGAAGCAGAGCTTGTACAAGAACATGGAAACGATCACCCGTCGGGCCAATTGCTCATCAGGAGAGCCTTCCAGGCTCAAGACATTAGCCATTAATTCAAGCTCCAAGAGCTTGCCTTACTAGACAGGTTGATTGAATTGAAGCTGAAAAGGGGAAAAAAAATGATATTGATTTCCTTTTTTTGTTGCCTTTTCTGCTGCAGATTCTCTGCACTGATCTATGTATCATATGGATGAACAATGAAGAATTAGATAGTTATTGCAGATTAAGTGTTTCCTTTAGTTTCATCTGCAATTATGCACTTTGGTGCATTGTATATTACTGAACTTTGAATTGCCAAGAACTCCTTCCAATGTACGATCATTAACATGAAAGCCTAACAACATTAAACATTAATAGTAAGGTTGTGTTTGGTCGTGATCACATGGCTAACTAGGGAACGATTAATGAATACGACTGCGGTTGAGGATGCGGTTTCTAGAAAGGGCTTGGAGGTGTTTTGGAGCAACGCCTACGGTCTTATAATATAAACTCTCATCATGTAAATAATCATGACCTACTTTAGGTATTAAAAGACATCCTCATCACGTTAGGACGCAACTGAAATTGCAACCACCGGTTAATTAGGGAAAGATTCTTGGGCGCGACCGCGGTCGAGGGTGCGGCTTCCAAAAGTGGCAATGAGGTGTTTTAGAGTAGTGCTTGTGATGTTAAAAACCAACTCTCATCATTTTAGGACGTGGTTGAGATTGCGACGCGGGGCTTATTAGAGAGCGATTCATGGACTACCGCAGGTGAGGATGTGGTTTCCATAAGTAGCTTGGAGGTGTTTTGGAGTAGCAACTATATTCCTAAAAACCAACTCTCATCACGTTATGACATGCTGAGATCGCGGGCTAACTATTGAAAGTTTTTTGGACACGACTGCGGACAAGGGTGCAATTTCAAAAAGTAGCATGGAGGTGTTTTGGAGTAGCGCTTACTATCTTAAACCCCAATTTTTATTAAGTTAGGACATTGCTGAGATCATGAGCGTGGGGCAAACTAGCTATCGATTCATGCATGGACGCGCCTACAGTCGGTGGTGAGCTTTTCAAAAGTAGCTTGGAGGTGTTATGGAGTAGCGCCTACAGTTTTAAACACCAACTTTCATCACGTAAACAACTATGTCCTACTTTAGGTATTAAAACCAACTCTCATCACGTTAGGACGCGACTGAGATCGCGGCCACGTGACTAACTAAGTAACTATTAGTGGATGTGACTGTGATCGAGAGTGCGATTTCTAGAAAGAGTTTGGAGGTGTTTTGGAGCAACGCCCGTGATTTTATATACCAAAACTCTCATCACGTAAACAATCATGGCCTACTTTTCACTAGAGACGTGAATACCCAAGAGACTTTTATGAATAGAGTGTATCTTGCGAAGTTGAAGATCAAGCTCGCTTGTTTTGTCCTGAATTTAATCCCTTTATAGAGTAATTGAATCCGTATTCCTTTCATTTCTAGACTTTGTGTTCCTTGTTCTATGTGTGTTTTCCCTTTGGCCTTCTCCTTGTTCTACTTGAATTTGTTTTCCTAGTTTTGACGGGTTGAGATTTCTAATTTTGTTTTGGTTTTTGTCAACAATACTAGGGCAACACATTTGCATTTGGTCAGATTACTTCCCCTCGTAAGCCTTCCCCCTAGGCCATACACATTATTTTCCTTCTTTCTTGAGCCATTTTAATGAGTGAATTCTATTTTTGGTCCTATTGTTATAGATGTCATTCCAATTTTAGTCTATCATAATTATTTTTGTCACATTGAGTCCACTATTATTAAAATTGTTTCAATTTTAGTTCACGAAAAATATAAAAATAAATTAAAATTGGAACACTTTTAATAATAGTGGACGTAATACGACAAAAATAATTATGATGGACTAAAATTAGAAAAATCCTTATAACAATAGGACCAAAAATGAAATTCACCCCATTTTAATATATCCATTAAAGAGTTATAAATATTTCAAACATTACACTGGTAAAATATTAACATATGAAAGTTAAATAAAATAAAACACCTTTAAAATGCAGATGGACTTATAAAATAAGAGACGGGCGGCTGGTATTAAATGATAAACATAAAGCCATATAAAGTATAATTAAAATAAAAAAATAATATTGCATATACTCTCATTTTTCTAATTCATATGAAGCGTATTGAGAATTTTACTCAAAGAGAGTCCAACCCTATACCATTTTTGAAAACAAAATGATAACTGGATAAATAATTATTTAATTGAATTCAAACAATATGTGTCCAGAGTTGATTGTACTGTAGTGATGATAATACTTGGAGCTGGCGATGGACTCGTGGTTGAAGTGAAGACTGAAGTCTGAAGAGACGAACTGCAACATTTTGGTCTTTGGTATGTTGGCGTGGGTTGTGCGGGAGGGGAATTATGGCGGACACTTGTTTGGGACCCCCCTTCTCTATTCCTTCCTTAAATGCCTTTACTTCTTTCCCGTTTTCTCTCTTCCATTTCCATCCTATTTGTCTCTCTTCGCCTTCTAGAAGCAGCAGCAGCAGAGACAGATCTCTCTCCTTCTCTCTCATGGCTTCCTCCGCTCGTACCTCTCCCACGCACAACTGCCACTCCTCCGTACCCACTGCTCATCAGCCCTCACTGGTGGTTTTCTCGGGTATGGTATAGATTTAGTTTTTCTGATTAATTTTATGTTAAATGTGAAAAAAATTCAATCTTTGAAATACCCACTGAGGGTTTGGCTTTTAATTTTATTTTTGCGGGGTAAAAGCAAAGCGAATCTCGAATCTGGTCCTAGCAGGATCCTTATTTTTATATAATCTTGAAGATTGAAGTGAAAGGAGAAGCTTTAGCCCAGTCACTTGAAAACAGAAAATGGTGGATAATTGGTATTGGATTTCAGTTTTTGATAATCTAGCGTGGTAAATGGCTTATACTGCTTATTCTACTGAAATGTACCTCTTTTAGTTTTAATTAAATGATGGGATTGTAGAGTTAGTGGTGCTTTATTCTCTAGCTCTGGCTGCTTATGCCACTCATTACTATGGGATCTGACAAGTTGTTAGTACACAGGTGGAACAGCCTTTAATGGTGTTGCCGAAGAGCTTAAGAAGTTAACTACTTGTGTTGCTCATGTTCTTCCTGTTTCTGATGATGGTGGAAGTACAGCTGAGATTGTCCGAGTTCTTGGTAAGTGTTTTTTAAAATTCCTTATTTTGTGTTTTGCCATAACCCTTGATTTCTTGACAGTAAATCTTTGTATTAGTTTGAAAGTACTCATCACTGTAAGTAATTTCACATTATGTTCATCCTTGCTTTTCTGCGGATACTCGACGTTCTGAACCACTTTGGCTAAGATTAGTGCTGCCAAAAGATTGACATGTAGGAGGCGAATTAGTATGTCTGATAATATATGTAGCTATTACCTTGCGCCCCAAAAATGGGAAAGAATGGGAGGAAAACTGTTATCTAAGGATCATGCTCTACTTACCAGTTTGTCACATATACTAAGTCCTTTTCAGTTTTCACTTTGTTTCTATGTTCATGTATTTATTTATTTTTCCTTCAAACTGTGTGGCAGTTAGCAAGTGTATTTTATGGGTACCCTGCAGGTGGCCCTGCAGTTGGGGACATACGGTCAAGATGCTTGAGACTGTCTGATCAAAGTACCTCTGAGGCCCTTGCTGTGAGAACATTGCTTGGTCATCGACTACCTCTTGATGCACAAAAAGCAAAGCTAGAGTGGTAGTGAAACCATATTTTTGAGTAATGACTTTGTTCTATTCTGCTGATGTTCTTTCTCCATTTTAGTGTGCTCTAGGAAATTTTTTTTTTTTTTTTTACTAGCCTTTCTCGGAACTTTCGTGTTTAAACTGCTTTGGTAAGATAATTGACATTGCCAATAATGACTATATGGTGAATAGGTATGATATTGTGGAAGGGAACCATAACCTTTGGAAAGGCATCTCAAAACCTTACAGGGAAACTATACGAGCTTTCTTGGCTTACTTTCAAGACCAGGTTCGTAGTTGTTTTATCAACCTTATCTCTCAATTGCAGCTATTCTTGGACTTTGCCTTCCCTGTCATTCTTTTAAATGTAAAATCTGTAATTAGCTTTGGAATTGTTAACATTTCTTGGATTAAACTGATGAAACTTCACTTTTTTACAATATGATGATTTTCTTCATTGCTATGATCTTTTAGTATTGGAGTCAGATCATATTTTCTATAACTTTGGATGAAAATACGGTGTACACAATACAGTGTATTGAAATTCAAGTTTAGGCTCTCTTTGACTGATACCATGGGCATTAGTGTCACTTCTCTTCTTATTTAGAAGACAGTTGACGAGTTCTTAAATTTATATATTTGGGTCACTAGTATGGACTTCTTTTATGCAGATTCTTCGGCGCTCAGAAGACTTGTTTTGTTTTAGTAATGGAAGGTATTTGATACTAGCCTTCTTGATTGCAATGCCTTTACGAAGGTCTTTAAGTAGCTTCTCTATGTGCCTTCCTCTTTGATAGTGTTTATAGATATATGTAATTGTATAACTATTTTCTTCAGAATTGGTACCCATTTAAGTTTCTCATGTTCCGGCTTAATGGAAATAGGTTCTATATTGAATTTTTACCTGTAATTATGTGTTTACTATCTTGAACTTGCTTTTGCAGTTCTGACTTGATAAAACCTCGGGTTACCTTGCAGCATTGGGAATTTTTTCTTTGCAGGAGCACGGACATTTTTTCAGTCTCTAGATGCTGCAATCTTTTTGTTTTCACGTGTTTCTGATATTCCAACCGAAAGTCTTGTTCTTCCTGTGATATCCACTAACGAGAGGCTTACGTTGGGCTGTGAATTACGGGTATGATCTCTCTTTTACACAAACTCTTCTCCTTTCCCTACCCTCCCACGCTTCTCTTATGAGTTATGATAAGTATCTTTAACTGAAGCATGTGTTCTTTTAATTCCCATGTCGAGCAAATATGTGTATTCATTTGAGTAGAGTGGTGATTTTTTGGGGTGGCCGGTGGCGGGGTATGTTGGCCGTCATATGTTGCCCATTTGATTGGTTTGATCGCATTGAAGCTTACCTTTTCCTTGTCATGAATGATAAATTAGCACTGTTGTAAAAATCGGCCTAGGCGGCCTCCTAGACGCTAGGCGCCCCTAGGCCGAGGGGTTTTTACCCTTAGATGGATACAATCATTATTGTGTGGATCATGGTCCACAACTGTGTGGACCATACTATCAAATAATGTACATTCAGTACACAAATAATGTACTTTTAGTATATTAAAAATGTACTTTTTGTTATGGTTCACACAACACTGTGTGGACCATAATTGTTGGCCGACTAGGCAGCCTAGGCACCCGAGTCTTCTTTTTGTGTGTGTGTGTGCAATGTATACATTGCTATGTTTTTCTTATTATTATTACTTGCCCGCCTAGGCGCTCTAGGTGCTAGGGGCCCTTGGGGCGCCTGACTAGTGCCTAGCGCCTTCTACAACATTGTAAATTAGATCATGCAATCTCAAGTTGTTCCAATGCATGTAGGTTCTTTCGGTCTTTCCTGGTTTTGGTTTAATGAGATGAGCCAGTGGAAAAAAACTAATTCTTATTTTCTTTACTATATATCAAATCAAAACTGGTCTTGTGTTCTGTTTTCATTAGGATGGTACCATTATACGTGGACAGAATGCAATATCTCACCCAACAAATGGACGCATGGAACCCATAAACAAGGTATCTCTTTGCATTATTTCACTTTTAAATTTATCATGCCTAGTTAACACATTAATTATTTAATTACATATCAATAACATAATCCGATCTCCTATTTGATGTTTTCCTCTGCCATTGCCCGAAAAATTGTACTTCTATAAATATGCTACATATGTTATATGTTACCTTTCTCACCTCATTTGACCGTCTAAATCTATCTGGATAGGGGATCTCTTCATCTCCTGCACTTGCTTCAAAAATAAAACGAGTGTTCTACATGTCAAGTGAAGGAAGCAACTTATTGCATGAGGTAAACTATTAAATACTGTCACAATTATGTTCCAAAAAAAAAAAATCTCGACTCTCTTTTGCCCCTATTACTTTCATTTGTATTCAATTCCTCAATAATCCTTAAAAGGTATTGTTGGGCGGAGGCCGGTAAAAGGCCAAGTCTAGCAATTGGTGGCTAGGGGGATTGTTGGACAGAGGCTGGTGAAGGGCCAAGTCCAGCACCATGGCTCTTGAAAATGTGGTGGCGGTATATAAAGAAATAAAGTTGCGCCTTTGTTGTGAGCTATAGTTTCTGGCGTAGTGGTAAACGCTTGATCCTAACAAGTCGTATCAGAGCCAGGTCACGGGTTTGAGTCTGATGTCTTCAGCTGATCTGTACTTCCAATTTTCTCTTGATTTGTCAGGTTTTCCCTGCTGTAAATCCAACGGTCTTGGAAAAGTTGAGAAATGCAGACTGCATCGTATTTGCCATGGGATCGCTCTTTACTTCCATCTGCCCTTCTCTGGTAATTTTATACGCATACGGTGTAATCTTCCCTCCGGGCTAAGCTCATATTTTCGTATATGATTTTATCGACCATTGATATAACAATGCATTTCACAAACTTCAATTTTACTGATATTTGATCTACATTCCTAGGTTTTACTCGGAGTTGGGGAAGCCATCGCTTCACGGTCATGCCCCAAGGTTGATTTGCTAATCTCCACGACTTTCTATTGGTTTTTATGTGAAAATGATTTCAAGTAATCTTTTGAGACTAATTTTCCATGTTCAAATTTAGGAAAATTATCGTCTTTTCTTCCTTGTTTAATCATCTCCATAGGTGCTTCTGTTGAATGGTACACACGACCGTGAAACCAGTGGCTTTACTGCTTCCTGCTTTGTGACAGCCATCACCGATGCCCTAAACCGAACTTACGAGGATCGTTGCAATTGCCTTAAAAATCCCGTAAGTAGCTAGATCTACACGTATATATTTGGTACAACTAACTTCCTTTAGCTCTATTAATTCTTGAAGTTAGTCATTCTGAATCGAACGTTATGCAATCTAACTAACGAAATTCTTTCATGCTTATCTGTCGTTTGTCATACAGCCAAATAGATATATCAATACGCTTCTGGTGCCAAAAGACGGCCAAGTTCCGATGGATGTTGATCGCCTCACTTCCCAAGGGATTCGTAATGTGGTACGTGCCCGTGTTAATATTTCTTCCGCTTGCTGCCTATTTGAATTTAACTGTCACTACTAGAAATTCTGAAATTTCCGACCACCCGAAAGTGATTTTAAATCAAGTTGAAAGCTTTGTTTCCGACTACTTTTGGTATCCGGAAAAACCTTTGCTGTTATTTTCGACCACTTTTTGCTTTCAACTTGATTTAAGATCACTTTCAGGTGGTCGGAAATTCTATAATTTCCAGTAGTGTGTGAAGGGCTTGAGAATAATTATTACTTGTGAGTCGTTCTAATTTTGCGTTTTACCCTACTAGAAACCTTCGGATTTCCATATTTGCTCGCTCTTCAAGTGATGCATTTTGCATAAAGGCTTCAATTCTTGCAGGTGACTGTAGATTCAGTCCATGACCCGAAAGTCGGTGCAATTTTCGACCCAAAATCATTAATCCAAGCACTTGCAGGTTTGATCATACAAACATGAGAAAAACCGCAACCTTTTATATTATGAGATTGAAGAGCCAGCAGAGGAAGTATATTTGGCTATGAAGTTAGTAATGCTTTGACTGCCTTCTCAGAATTTGACAGTGATCCTAGGAGGATACAAGGTTTTTCATTGATTCTAGTACAGCTATTGGACATATAGGGAAGTTATAGAAGAAGCCTTTGTTGGATCCACAGTTGATATGTGATCAGAATTAATGTACAGTGTAGTTCATTCACTTCAAATTACAAATGCTCTTTCACATCACAAATATATCACTCTATTCCTATATTATCACGAAAGACATTGGGGTTTTTTTGTAAATAGCTGTTAGCTGATTGGGTTAGTGAGTTTGACTAGTTGATAACATTAGCTGATTGTAGAAAGATGTTTGGTAAATTATTTGTTAGTTGACAGTTATATGCAAAATGACTATTTTAAAAAGTTGATCAAAAAAACTGTTTTGAATAACTTAATCATGGTGACTCAACTGAACATGAACCACAGAGGTTAGACCGGTGCTCACTGCGCACAAGGAGCCCCCCTCACTGTGAGAGGTTGTTCCTACACTGCCGCTAGTGAGACTCGATCCCTGGTCATTCTTTCAAAGTTTCACCTCTATGACCAGTTGAGCTACCCATGCAGGCTTTAGACAATCATTATTGTCCACACAAGTTGTGTGGACCATATTTTGTAACTGTCAAATAATGTACATTCAGTACAAAAACAATGTACATTGTATTTAGGGGATGTACATTATTTTTTTTTTATTGGGTGTATATTATATTGTATAATGTACACTCAGTACAAAAATAATGTACATTTAATATATTAAAAATGTACTTTTTGTTATGATCCACATAACATTGTGTGGACTATGGTCCACACAATAATTTGCCTATTTTAGAGCAATAAGCTGTTATGAATATCTAATTAATCAAACACTTGTTAAATAGTTAATAGTGGTTAAATAAGTTAAAATTGACTGATATAACGGGGTCTTTATCTTTAAAATAAAATTTATATTCCACTGAGCCTCGAACTCGTAACCTTCCAAATGAAAGTCCAACCCGGGTACTATTAGACCACATAGTCTTGGTATATCATATATATATTTAGTTAAGTTGTATAACATTAATTACAAACATTCTTTAAGCTAAGCTAAGGTTTAATTTGAGTTCAGCTATGGCTTCCAATAGCTCCTCGTTGCTCTCGCCCTAATGTTTGCGAAGTCTGCGTATTTAGCCGTGTCTCGAACACTATACAGTGGTTCAAGAGTGCTCTAATTCCTGTACTCCACTCTTTTTGTATGAAGTGATTCAGTACTAAACTTGTTCATCCAACAATTTATATATATGTGAAAGCCAAAAAAAAGTGCTTTGATAACAAAGTCAATACTATTTGCCTAAGTTTTCAAAATTCTCAAAGCTTCCTAGTATTCATCTATCTACCAGAACTGCAAGATCATTAAACTTCAAAACAAAGATTGAATATCATATCCGGCCTCCAACTAATCTAGCGGTATGGAAGTGATCGAGTATGTGGCCCGTTGGCAAATCTCCTGAGTGAATGTCATACGGTACTCAAGTCAAGACCATAACTCCATCACAAAAGTTATATTAGTCCACAATCTCATCGTGGAGCCGATGTGGGATCGTATCATTGACCATCCCTTGAAGAGGGGTCGTTATATCGTGGTGCATCGCGGTTAAAACGGCGCCGTTAGTGTTAACAGAGCGCGTATTTTTTTGTATGTTAATTACCAACTGACACTACAATGTATTTAAACTGACACTACAGTATATCTAAACCGACACTGCCTCGCGTATTATTTTTATATTATCAAATGAAACTGCACTGTATATAAAATGAAACTGAATAACATTTCACATATTTGAGTGTATATTGTACAATGAAGTTGTAATTATATCAAAATGATCATGTAGTTGTGTTTTAATAAAACTATAGTGTATATCAAATAAAATTAAATAACATTTTTACATATTTGAGTCTATAAATATCGAATGAAACTGTAGTTGTGTTGAATTGAAACTGCAGTGTATACAAAATGAAACAAAATAACAGAGTTACTTTTTGCGAAAAGGTACGGAACAGCGGGAAACAGATGCCGTTTCTTTTCATTAAACAAAACGACGTCGTTTTGATGTGCGGTGCATAATCGATGTGATGTGCCGTTTCTTTTCATTTGTGATTGATGATTTGAGGTGTAACACATAATTGATCTATTCCATTGCCAATAGCTTTGTTAACCACTTAATAATTGGATTAATTCTTGATCTTGTGTGTTATGCATTGCTAGTGAAGGCTTATGTGAGATTCCGGTCATGGGTGTTTTGCTAGAACTTGCCTCATTACTCCCTTAGTGATGTCTAAGTTTTTGCATGTTTTGAAGTGATTTAGGTCATCTTTTGTTAGCCATAGCCTTTAAACCTGTTCCTACATATATTTTTATCATTTGTGCCATTGTGCCTTTTGTTTGTTCAAATAAGTGCTAAGCACCTATCCCCTCATTGTGATTGTTTTTCTTTGATTTACCCCTGTTATTATAACCCTTAGCCATTGGCCAAATATTTCCCTTCCACCCTTTGAGAGAATGAAACTTTTATCTTTATTATTTATGTAAGAAGAGTTTTTATGGAGTTGTGCCAAAAAGCAGCTGATGTTACAAATGTTCAAGTGTGGGGGTCATGAAAGTTTGGATTAAAATTGTCTTGCTATATTCAAAAGAAATCCAAAGAAAAGAAAAAAAAAAAAAAAAGAAAAGAGAAAGTTTGAAAGTTTTTTGAGTTTGGACCCCCACTTTACCAAAGAGTTGCTAAGTTCTTAAAAGAAATTTGCTCCTTGAAATTATGATTATCTCATCTCTTCCAAATTTTGAAAAGTTTAGATAAATTGTGACATTCTCTCTTTTTGATTAATTTTTCCATACCACTTCCTTGTTAGTCATCGCCCGTAGCCCCATTACAAGCTAAATAAAGTCCTAGTTGATCTTAACATGCATTCTTAGATTTGATCTAAGGGAGTATGAAGGGCAAACCTATGGGATCTCATTCATTAGTCGTGTCTTGCATAATCTCAACTGAGTATTTGTGCACACTTGATCCTCACATACTTTAAATTCTTGGTGCTTAGTTATTGGCTTGAGAATGGGTCTTATGTGCCAAGCTAATTTGATTCTTGAAGCTTGTTGTTTTGCAGCGAGTTGGTTGGTGGTTTGAAAGGTTGTGCAAGAGAGAGTATGAGTAATTTGTATGTTTTGACTTGTGATTTATTTCTTGGTTTTTGCTTGAGGACAAGCAAATGCTTAAGTATGGGGGGGGGGGGGGGGGGGGGTGATGTAATCATAATTGTGCACATTTCTAGTATTGATTTAATTATATTTGATAGGTTTGAGTTCATGATTGTGATAATTTAATTGCATAATCCTTTATTTTATTATTTAGTTGTGATTCACACTCGTTTTGAATGTTTTATGGTGTTTGTTAGTGTTTTATTTAGTTGTGATTCACACTCGTTTTGAATGTTTTATGGTGTTTGTTAGGTTTGAGTTCATGATTGTGATAATTTAATTGCATAATCCTTTATTTTATTATTTAGTTGTGATTCACACTCGTTTTGAATGTTTTATGGTGTTTGTTAGTGTTTTTGAACCATTTTAGGTCAAAGATATGAATAAGGAGAGTTCAAGGACGAGTTTGGAGCCAAAATGGACAAGTTAGAGCCCAGAAGGCTCGATACGTCGAGTCTCGAACTCGATATGTTAAAATTTTCCCAAAAACAATATGTTCGAGCACAGCAGAGCGAAACACTGCAGCGCAAATTATTTCCTAATCCAAGGGCTGATTTGCATGAAAACAAAAGGAATTATTTTCCTTTGAAAGAAAGCAATGGGCGGCTGAATCATTAGGCGCAGAATTCCAAGGTGGTTACCTTAACAGGGCGTTTGGTTTGAGGGGAGGAATTATATGGGAAAGGAATTGTAATTACATGGGAGTTGAATTACTGGGAATAAAGTGAGAATTTAAATTCCAGTGTTTGGTTGACAGGAATAGAATTACTGAGAATTTCAATTCCAATGTTTGGTATACATAGGAATTGAAAGGGAATAAGTAGTATAAAGTCAAAAATGTCCATTATTGTTGTTAGACATTAATTTTAGGTTAAAAAATGAAGGTGTAATTTTGACTAATCACTATCTTTTTTTCCCAGGAATTAAAATATCGGGGGGACATGGGATTTTAATTCCATGAAATTGGGGGAATTGCAATTCCATGTTCCATGAAATTGGGGGAATTGCAATTCCCTCCAACCAAATTACGGAATTTAATGGCCTTTAGAATTAGGTGGGAATTAAGTGAGAAGGAAATTTAAAATCCCTCCAACCAAACGCCCTGTAATATTACAATCAAATTTGGCAGCAAATATATTCCAACTTCAATTTCAATTTAAGGACGACAACTTCTAAAACAAAATAAGAAAATTCCTATTTCGTCTTGGTTTGATTCCTACTATCAAATCCTCTTTCCTCAACCCTAAACACAATTTGAGAATTCAGAGATCTTTGAAGATAAGACAGGGAGAAATCAAGAGCCACAAGTTGTCTTGGGAAGCAAGAAGAAGATTAGGGAGATTTGAGAGAATCGTCTGGTTCATTCTTATACTCTTTTGATAATTTGTATTTTTTTTTAATTAATATTTGCTATGTATAATTTAGCTATGCTTGACTAAATTCTTTAGATATTCTTAGATAAAAGTGTTTATGAACCTATGTGCCTGAGCTCGGCAATTTATATCCTACATCACGGCGCGCGTTGCATTGTGCGCCCAGATGCAAAACGATGTCGTTTTTTATTTTTATTTTATTTTTTTTTTTAGAAATTTCGCTACCCAGTGCTTGGCAGTTAATTTTCCTTTAAAAAAAATCTCATGTTCAAAAATGTACATAATGTTATACATGAATGTACATAATTGTATACATGAATGTACGTAATTGTATAACAAAATATACATATTGTTTTTTAAAAGATAATACACATAATCTAACATAATACATAATAAACATGAACTTTTAACATAATACACATCAACTCTTAACATAATACACAAAAATTTCCTGATTCGGATGTACATAATTGTATAAAAAAAATGTACATAATTGTATAAAAATGTACATAATAAAAAATATACATAATTGTATGAACAAATATACATAATCACAGCAATTTCTTACCGCGCCTCCTAAAACGACGTCGTTTTGGGAGGCGCGCGCCGTGATGTAGGGTATAACGATTGCCTGAGCTCTTAGATTCTTTAATATGTTATTATTTGGGTTTTAAACTTGTGTTGCAATTGTGATTTTATTGTTTGATGCTTGTAATTAGTGGCTACAGTTACTTGTTTCGTTTGCTATCTTTGTGTCACAACGAGAGTTGGGCATAATTTAGGGCACACACAATTGCACCTAACTGTTGCACCTTGAGAAAGGATAATTTTGTTAGGGAGTTTAATTCTTGATTATTGTGCATCGAGAGATGGTAGTAGTTAGGAATTTATGATGCTTGATCTTGTTTTATTGGGTGTTTAAGCCACGAGGGTGGAAATTCACTAGTGTTAGTGACTACGAGAGTAGCTCTATACCACCTTGCATCCTCACACTTGTTAAACCCCAGATTTTAATATTGTCCTTAAGATTTGGCATTAGGTGATTAAATACTTGAATCCCAAGAATCTCATTTTCTCTCTAATTGTTTTCAAATCCTGAATCTCTGCTTTATTTTATTTATTTTATGCAAATTAATCATCTAAACAATTGTTATGATTAGCTCTAATGAATAAATTAGTAACAAGTGCTTGATACAACCACTTCCCTGTGGATCGATAATTCGTACAGCGAGTATTATTTGTTTGCAAATATACTACGCATCACATATCCTCAAACTAATTAATATGTAATAACTCCTTATGGTATTAAAAACGTTTTAAATTGGGCGCAACCCGAAAGTTGATCAGTCAGTAGGGTTGGTAATCACAAATTTTTAAATTCGACTCCCAGTAAAAACGGTCTATTGAGATTCTTGGTTTGAATCGAAGTTTATTGACTTTTTAATTTGAGCCGGTTACCTATGAACAACTTAAGCGATTTTATTTTATTGTGGTCCTTTGCGGGTTAGGGTTATATAACGGGATAGTGACTGCGGGTTTTCGTTGTGATCCAAAAAATTTCAAATCACTTCTACAAAATTTTGGTTACACAATACAATTGATTGGCCATGAATAAGCTCAAACGCAATAGGCAATGGCAGCATTAATTAACGGCTAATGTACAAAATTAGAGTCCTCCTCAGCTCCATCAAAGCAGCGTCTACGGAATTCGAACTTCATTGTCGCTATCATTTGTAAGATAAATTAGAAGAAACAGTATGATTTATTTATTTATTCCAATTAATATAACTATTTTCTCCAAATTTATCTCACTGTTTAATATAATAAAATAAGTTTAGGAGGAAAATTTAGGATTACTCTAATATTAATTATTGATTGCCTCATTGCCCGTTAATTAACGGCTAACGCACAACATTAGAGCTTAGGTTTATGAAGCAGCGTCTACGTACAGAATTGGAACTTCATTATATTGTCGCTATCATTTGTAACTTGCCGGCTTTTCCATTGAATCTACTTCTATTCCGTGTTAAGATTCTGTGACAATGAAATTCCAAACCCTATAAATAGCGTTGCATCTTTAACCCAATAATGCATTCACTCACAACACATTACAGTTGTAAACATTTTACAACCATTTTTTTTTTTAAGGTTTAAGGTTGTCAATTAACTATGGCTTCCAATAGCTTGAAGCTCCTCATTGCTCTTGCACTGGTGTTTGCAACGTCGGCTTATTTAGCCACGTCTCGAACATTACTTGATTCATTGATGGCGGTGAGGCATGAGCAGTGGATGGCTCAGTATGGACGCGTTTACAAAAACGAAGTCGAGAAAACAAAAAGATATAACATTTTCAAAGAGAATGTAGAATACATTGAGTCTTTTAACAAAGCTGGAACCAAGCCTTATAAGCTAGGCATCAATGCATTTGCCGATTTGACGAACAAGGAATTCATAGCATCTCGGAATGGATACAAATTGCCTCACGAGTGCTCCTCCAATACCCCATTTAGGTATGAAAATGTGAGTGCAGTTCCAACTACGGTGGATTGGAGGAAGAAGGGAGCCGTTACTCCTGTTAAAGATCAAGGCCAATGTGGTAAGTATATTATCCAACTTTGATTTGTTAATATATCTTCATAGTGGCCTGCCTGAGAACTAACAGCCAAAAACTATAACTAATAGTAAAGATGCAACTTATATTTCTTTACCTATAGACCATCATCACATTATTCCAGACAAGCTGGGTGTTGGACTTGCCCTTAAGGACTTTAACGGCTCAATCAACAATCCCCAGCCACCTTGTACTGTCAAATTATGCTGTGCATCCGTATGCACCATGGTGCATACGGATGCAAAAACAACGTCGTTTTATTAAAAATGCGCGTCCCACTTAAAAAAAAATCAGTTTCGATTTCCAGCAACAACATTATATTGTGCATAATTTGAACTATATATTCAGAATCAATGAACTAAAATTCCAGAATCGATGAACTAAAAATCCATAATGAATGAACTAAAAATTCATAATGAATGAACTAAATATCCAGCATGAATGAAAAAAAAATCAGTTTCGATCACGTCTAAATATCCATAATCAATGAACTAAAATTCTAGAATCTATGAACTAAAATTCCAGAATCTATGAACTAAAATTCCAGAATGAATGAACAACATAATGCTGTTGAGGGAAATCAAAATTGATTTTTTTTTTTAAAGTGGGATGCGCGTTTTTAATAAAACGACGTCGTTACAGCATAACGATCCCCTTGTACTAGACATGTCCCCTTTACGGGCCCGGCCCAACAAGAATCTTTTTTTTTTTTTTTTTTTGAAAAGACCCAACAAGAATCTAATTAATTGTAAAATTACATAGGATGTTGCTGGGCATTTTCTGCTGTTGCCGCCATGGAAGGAATCACCAAGCTCTCAACCGGCAATCTGATTTCCCTCTCAGAGCAAGAGCTAGTAGATTGCGACGTAAAAGGCATAGACCAAGGCTGCGAAGGAGGCCTAATGGACGATGCATTCACCTTCATAATAAACAACAAAGGCCTCACAACCGAATCCAACTACCCATACCAAGGAACCGACGGCTCCTGCAAGAAAAGCAAGTCATCCAACAGCGCAGCTAAGATCAGTGGCTACGAAGATGTCCCCGCTAACAGCGAGTCGGCCTTGGAGAAGGCCGTGGCGAACCAGCCTGTATCGGTGGCCATAGACGCCGGGGGATCGGATTTCCAGTTCTACTCGAGCGGGGTGTTCACGGGAGAGTGCGGGACGGAGCTGGATCACGGCGTGACGGCTGTTGGGTATGGGATTGCGGAGGATGGGACTAAGTATTGGCTAGTAAAGAACTCATGGGGAACAAGTTGGGGTGAGAAGGGTTATATTAGAATGCAGAAAGACATTGAGGCTAAAGAAGGGCTTTGCGGTATTGCCATGCAATCATCATATCCCTCTGCTTAATTGATTAATATATATTTGAATTGATGAGGCTTTGTATAAATCATCCTTAAAACGCCTCTGTAATTAATTGGTGTGTATTATCTTTTTTTTTCTTGTTTGTGTATATTATATGCCAACTGTACTGGAATCTTTCCTGTGATTATACATGCTTCGACGTATATAACAATATATAGTTGCCTTTACTCCAAAAAAGTTTCAATTTTATTATTATTATTATGATTATGATTGTTTTGATATATATTACTCCATAAAATATTTAGGCAACTCAATTTAGTTAATCCACAATTAGTTTGATAACCAAAAGTTTTCTAGTTTGGCTCTTTTTCAGAGCAGCTTGCTAGCTTTCTTTATTTGATCTAGTAACCTATGAACAACATAAGAACATTCAAGTATAAAATATGTATTGTTTAGAACAACACTGTTATAGGCAGTTTTCTCATTTTACTTCATATTTTCGGATATAATATTTATTAATGCGATGAATCGATGATATCTCTATTACCATTTTAAAAAGATAGTCATAGTATTAAATTTTGGTGAAAACATTAATTCTTTAGGCTGAAAATAATTGAAAAGTATAGAACAAATACTAATTAATGAATTTTTTTTAGTTCCCATATTATTCAATCAAGTAAATCAAGTAGATGAAATATATGTATACAGTTCTACAGTAGCTCTCCTAGAGTCATATGTACGGCGCAGCCTAATCAAGTGATCAATTGTCACAAAAGTTGGACGGTACAAATCGTCCATTTCAGTCAACCAACAATAACCACGTGCATATCATTTAAAAAAAAACAATTGTTAAATTTAGTTCATGATATTACAACACATAAGATTGATAAGAGTCTATTTACAACGGAGGTACACAGATATGTAATCTCATTTTTCTCTATACAAATATGGCATGTTTGAATTAATTAAAAAATTTTGGTAATAACAATATATATTTTTTTAAATCTCAATAAAACTCATCAAATTAATGATAATTAAAATATAAAATATATCATATGTATCACGAAATATATTAAAAAGTTTGATTAATTCAGTTAGTTAATCGAAATTTAATTCGACTACATTAATTCAGGAGTAAATGCCAGCCAAAGGTCCTCCGAGTTTGGTGGTTTCGCCACCTTTCATCCTAGATTTTCAAATCGACCACCCATGGTCCTCCGAGCTGAGTTTCGAATTTGACTTGTCGTAGTCTTTCCGTTAACTGTTGCCATCTGTACCGTGAAAAGTAAGGGCAAAACAGTCTTTTAATTTCAACTCCAGCTAAAACAAATCATTTCCCTAAAAAACCGTAGAACTGTAGAGCTTTCTTTGCCAGGAACGAATCTATAATTGTGAAATCTTCGTATTGAAATTGCGATTTTGGCTCACCAAAGAACGGCGTTTGCGTAATTGGGAATTATCGGAGAAGGAGTTCGATGGGAGGAGATTAGGGCTAATTTTAATTTTTGAGGAAAATGAATTGTTTTGGCTGGGGTTGAAATAAAAAGATTGTTTTGCCCTTACTTTTCACGGCGTACACGGCATATGTTAACAGAAGGTAGAATTCAAAACTCAAACGATTACGAATGATCAATTTAAAAGTTTAGGACTAAAGGTGACGAAACCACCAAATTCGGAAAACCTGACATTTATTCTTAATTCAATCCATTGTAGTTCAATTCCGTGATTGATTTCACTAAAATGATAATAAAATTTATTTTTATTTTTGATTAATTTGACAAGAAATTAGACCAATGACCATCCTGACAACAATCTATATAAGATGAATATGCACTCAAACAGCTTAGCTTGTCTCACTACAATTTTAAAGACGTCCAACTTTAATTTGCGCTATATTCATATACGACAAATCAAGATTCTCAACAAATGCCAAACACAGACCAAATAATATAATGCAGGAGAACACCGTCACGGCAATCCTAAAATTTGGGAACATATCTTATTTCTTATTTTATTATAATATAAGAAACAGTAATAAATAGAATATGTCACAGCAGAGTATCCTTGACATTCATGCGTTGAGACGATAACAACATAAATACAATAAAACTAAACATAGATACCACCAGTTAAGGTTAATGCGTTAGAATTATAAAATTGAATCATAACATAATTTTTAAATGGATTGATATGATAAACACATTTAGTTAAACACATTTAGTTAACATATTTCACGTCTACCCGACACGATATGACTGACAATCTGTTTTAAACCTACTAGACATTTTAATATAATTTTCTATTTAGAAAATAAAACTTTTGAAACAACTTTTTAAGATATACAATTACGTCCAACAAAATAATAAAGATATTCATTCATAACCTACCATAATATTTATAAAATGATTGATGTAAATAGTAAATACATAGGTATTCACAAATACGTAAGAGTATTAGGGTCGGATTGTAGGAAGATCCAAAACTAGTTTCCTGGTTGGTTTAATCTTGAGTTCGGGCAGTAATGCAAGGTCAAAGAGTTTCGAGCTGTGTAGTGTAATAGGTGAGAGAGGCCAAAAGTCCTCCCCTCCTTACATTTATTGCTGTATTTATAGCGGAGTAAATAAGACACATGCCGAGCACCAGGCATGCTTGCCACGTGTCGGACATGCAACCGACAGGCTCGGGAACAAGCTGATAGCCACGTGTGCCTAGATTCCTGGTCGCCCATTGGGACGGGGTTGAGTTAAATTAAGACCAGGAATCTAGGTTCAAATCCTCAAGTAGCCCTGCTCGGGAGATCTGAACTGGTCAGGCTCGGTCCTGAGCAGCAAGTCGGTACTACAATCTTTAGTTAACTTGGCTGTTGCTTTTAGGTCGGGAATATTATGTCTGTGGTCAGGGAATTGAAGGTCGGGAATGATTCCTGTCAGTGACCTGACCGGATACCGAACAGGTAAATGACCTATAGAAGGAGGTATAGTTGGAAAATATTCCCTATCAATAATAAAATAATATTTAAAATTCATAAATAACATGAACATTAATGAGTTGACCCAGTAATACACAAATTTTAATGGATTACTAACATGTTAACCCGTTATTGATCTGGAACATATTAAAAGTAAAATTCTCTAATTTCATATTATATTAATAGGTCACACTGCAAATGGTCAGGTCTACAGCAGTCCTACGTCTACGCAGTTCTTTATTGTCAATATCTTGCACATAACTTGCCGGGCTATCCAGGCATTTAAAGATGAATGAATTGAAATGCAAGACAATTTAATTATTTAAGGAAATCACGGGAATTCTAGCTAGATAAGTTTATAAATAGTGTGGCTTAATTCAATCCATTCACTCACAACATTTCATAGTACTTGTGTAAATTGCAAACATCTCTAAGGATCGAGATTGTCAACTATGGCTTTCAAAAGTTTGAAGCTTCTCGTAGCTCTCGCTTTAGTGTTTGCAATGTCGGCGTCATTAGCCACATCTCGAACATTACCTGATTCATCAATGGTGGAGAGGCACGATCAGTGGATGGCTCAATATGGACGTATTTACAAAGACGAGGTGGAGAAATCAAAACGATACAATATATTCAAAGAGAACGTAAAATACATTGATGCTTTCAACAAGGCCGGAACCAAGTCTTACAAGCTTGGCATCAATGCATTTGCAGATTTAACAAACAAGGAATTCCAAGCGTCTCGGAATGGATACAAATTGCCTCACGAGTGTTCCTCCAATACATTGTTTAGGTATGAAAATGTGAGTGCAGTTCCATCTACGGTGGATTGGAGAAAGAAGGGGGCCGTAACTCCCGTTAAGGATCAAGGCCAATGTGGTGAGTACATCATATTTATACTTTTTAGGATCTAGCTATTACCATTATACCGAAAGACAACTTTATTTCTTTATATTTTGCCATCACATTTTCTAGAGGTAATATATTAACACTTTACTAGCCTCCACCTAACAATTCCTAGTCACCAATTGCTGGACTTGACCCCTTACTGGCTTTTGCCCAACATTTTCCTCTCCCATTGCATCATGGCAACATTTTCGAGAGGTAGGGTGCTAGACTTGGCCCTTCACCTGCCTCTGCCCAGCAATTCCTTAGCTATCAATTTTTGAACTTGGCCCTTTATAGACCTCTGCCCAACAATATTGGTTATAAGAAAATTAAATTAAATTATTTTATAAGCTAGCTACTTAAGTTTGATGTATGTATAATATATATAGGATGTTGCTGGGCATTTTCTGCTGTGGCCGCCATGGAAGGAATCACCCAACTCTCAACCGGTAAGCTGATCTCATTGTCGGAGCAAGAGCTTGTAGATTGCGACGTAAAGGGCGAAGATCAAGGCTGCGGAGGAGGCCTAATGGACGATGCTTTCCAGTTCATCATAAACAACAAAGGCCTCACAACAGAATCCAACTACCCATACCAAGGAACCGACGGATCCTGCCAGAAAAGCAAGTCATCTAACAGCGCAGCAAAGATCAGCGGCTACGAAGATGTCCCCGCTAACAGCGAGTCGGCCTTGGAGAAGGCCGTGGCCAACCAGCCTGTATCCGTGGCCATAGATGCCGGCGAATCGGATTTCCAGTTCTACTCCAGCGGGGTGTTCACGGGAGAGTGCGGGACGGAGCTGGATCACGGCGTGACGGCCGTGGGGTACGGGAAAGCTGAGGATGGGACTAAGTATTGGTTGGTGAAGAACTCGTGGGGGACAAGTTGGGGTGAGAATGGTTACATTAGAATGCAGAAAGACATTGATGCTAAGGAAGGGCTTTGCGGTATTGCCATGCAAGCATCTTATCCAACTGCAACTGCTTGATTAAATACATATATACATACACACACTACATATACATATATTTCATGAGGCTTTGTATCACTCATCCTAAATCGCCTCTGTAATATATCCAACAATTTGTGTTTTGTTTTGTTTTGTTTTGTTTTTTTTTTTTTTTTTGTTCTTGACTATTGTTGTGTATATTTAAATGCAAACTGTACTGAATGAAGGCTTTATTGTAAATATGATTTGCAACTTGCAGAAACGAAAATATGCAACATAGTTGCCTATCTTTACAACGGCTTGATATTTAGTTTGTTACAATATATATGGGAAAAATGCTTCCTACATCTACAGAATGACCTCATGATGTTTGTCGTTTTACACCAATTACTATATACAGGGCAAGTTCAGGTCGATCCCGCAGGGCCACAGGGAGTTTTGAGTTAACTACTTTAAACTTCACTAAACAAATGGAAAATTTTAATTAAAATAGAAATAAAATAAAATGCTATAAATTACATTTAATAATAAACAAGTAGGAAAACTAGTATCAAGAAATTAATAATACAAATAAAAGTTTCCAAACCAAGTATTAACTCTAATTGATTTGATATGATCATTAACACTAAAGATATTTATTCATCATAATATATAGTTGGCGTAAGTTAGCCGCGGATGCACAATAACCCTTAACTCATCTAATTTACGGAAAAGTGACAAACGTCGCCAATTAAGCCTAATTGATAGCCTATGTAGGCAACCTAACACCATGACAAACACCTAGGATTCAAGGTTTAATTGCATTAAGATTTGTGAGTTCTTTACTAGGGTTGTGCAAAACCAGGCCCACCCGATATTTCCGTCCGACCCGAGAACGGGGAAAAGGGGAGCCGACCCGATCCATATCCAAAGGTATAAAACTGATCTAAACTGTGTAATAAGATTTATTTAATTTGGGTAGGGTAGTGTATTTTGATATTTGATCCATCCAAATATCTGAAATTATGTAGGGTTAGGGTTTTGCATTCTTCCATATGACGTCGTTTTAGCTATATACATTCTTCCAATTGATTTAGCCATTCTCCTCATTTGCCTTTGAGCGCAGGCGCGTATCTTCTAGACCTTCTCCACTATGTTCTCTCTATTCTCTAGTCTCTTGACTCTCTTCTCAAGTTCTCTGATTCTTTGAGTTCTGAGAGTCTAAGTTCTCTCTTGACGACTCGACCCACCTGTTCTCTCTTTTGTGAGTTCTTTATTCTCTTTGATTCTCGATTCGTGGTGTCTAGTGTTCCGGTGATTGGTGGTCGGTGGTACTAGTGGAAGTTCTAGCCTTTAGCGAGCGTGGTAGTGAACTTGTGACTATTGAAGCCCTTGTTCTTCGGGGAATATATTTTGGAGAAACGAAGTAAATCAAATGATCTTGCTTATTTGATTAGGGTGGAAGCCAAATCTATTTTGCAGTTGGATGTTCCAACCAGATTGAATAACACTTACATAATGCTCAACAATGTCATTCAATACCAAAAAGTGTTTGAAGCATATGAAGAGAATGATGCTTCATTTTCTACTAACTTTGCTGATTATGTGCCTTCTTATCTTGATTGGTGTTCTGTGCAAAGTTTAGTAACTTTGCTGAAAAGTTTCTATGACATGACTGTGAGAATATTTGGTTCTCTTTATGTCACATTTAACACTTTTTTCAATGAGATCTCTGATCTTAATTGCATGTTGGATGACATGATTGGGGCTGCAACTGGTTTAAAAGGTAATAAAAACCTATTTTGTAAATCTGTAATATGTATTTTTTTAGAATACCTTATTTGATTTCTGTTTACTTAGCTTTTTTGAGTAATGCATACTTGAATTTTGGTGTACATGCAATGGGGACCCAAATGAAAAATAAGTTTGAAAAATATTGGAGGATCATGAAAAAATGAACTTCTTGATAATTTTTTGTCAATATTTTAGACCTAAAGATAAAGCTGAATATATGTCTCACTAGTTTGTCCAACTGTATGGTGAAGTGGAAGGGGAAGCTTGTTTTGAAAAGGTGCAAGCTGCAATGGTTGAGTTGTACAATGAATATGCAGCCACATATTCTATGAATGTGCAATTTGAATCCTCTGCCCAACCTGTTCAACCTGTGAATGTGTAGCTTATCCAATTTAAAACTACAGTTCGTAGGCCACAGTCTAGGTTGAAAAGCCAATTGAAAAGACAAAGAATGGAGAGTGGTGGAAGCAGTAAACAAATTGAGCTGCAGGTTTATTTGAGTGAGAATATTGTTGATGATAAGGTGGATTTTGATCTTCTTAGATGGTGGAAGCTAAATATTGAGAGATTGTCCATTCTTTTTTTTTTCTTTTTTTTTAAGGCAGGGGGTGTAATAGTAGTACCAATATCTACAGTTACCTCTGAAAGTGCTTTTAGTACTAGTGGTAGGGTATGAGATTGTCCATTCTCTCTCAAAAAAAAAAAAAAGGCAAGGGATGTGATAGTTGTACCAATATCTACAGTTGCCTCTGAAAGTGCTTTTAGTACTAGTGGTAGGGTGTTAGATCCATTTAGGAGTTCCTTAACTCCTAAAATTGTGGAAGCATTAGTATATACACAAGATTAGTTGAGATTAGCAAATCAACAAATACAAATTGAGAAATATATTGATGATTGTGAAAGGCTTGAAAAAGGGTATACCCTTTGCCATTTATGTTATTCCTTTATACTAAATTACTTTCTGTTTTACTGTTTTTAATTAAAAAAAATATTTGCAGAGTTGCCAACTGGACTTAGGAGTGCTAGAACTAGTTTATCCCTAATATTTTTTTTTATTTCAACTTTCTTTCTAGTTTTGTGATTATGTGAATATGTGATTTAATTTTGCTATTAATCTATTATTATCTCCTATTGTGACTTGTGTAATTGTGAATTACTAACTGCCAAGTGACAACTCGGACAACTGGACAATAGCTTGGCACCAATTGATTTGTTATTGCCTTGAATCCTTGACTCCTTCAATATTAATATCAATTCAGTTGGCCTTATCCTTTTTGCCTTAATTTATTGATTGATTCTTGAGTGAAGGTCTTATGATAATTTGAGTCCTATCAAGTCAGAGAGTCTCCTACGAATACATCCCGCCTTATTGCCTAGAATGCCGTAGATTTGGCCATATCACCTCAGACTGTCGAAGCTCCCGTGTTGACGTCCCTCTCCAAGATCCCCGAAATGAGCCCCGACAGGCTCTCCAGAATAAAGCAAGCTCTGATCGTTCCTCAACAACCAATGATAGTCCCCCCCAAGGAAACGATGGCGACCTGTAGCGGTTCAACCGACCGAACCCCAAGATGATAACTTAGCAGAAAACCCCAGAGTGCCGCTTGCTATGGACTCGGGTAGTTCAGTTTCAATAGTGCCCTTTCCAATCCCAGAAAATAACTCCCATCTTAGAGTGGCCTTGATCGATGACCATGGTGTCCGTCCAGCGTCGCTTTCGGAATCCCAGCCCGGACACTTATCGGATGGGGATGAGATACAGGATGTTCAGATTTTCTCAATTTTTCTACTAGATTCGTGGAGAGAGGCCAGCAAACTTTTTGCCTCTAAACTTGGAGGCTCAAAACTGGATGACATTATTGCAATAACTAAGAAAAAAAGCCGTCCCAGGAAGGATTACTCTGCAAACATACCCTCAGTGACTACTCGCTTTGCTGTGGGTAAAATCGCCAGAGTATCTTTCTCCCACCGTTTGAAATGAACTTGCTAAGTTGGAATGTCCAAGGCCTGCTCTCCTCATGACGTAGGCTCAAACGGATCCTAAGACGTGAGCACGTTCACTTAGTCACTGTTATTGAACCTTTTGTAAGTTCTGATAAGCTCAATAGCTTCATTCGAGACTTCAATCTTTTGGGTGGATATGCCTCAGAGGATTCGAAAATCTAGATTCTCTAGTCGGATTGCTTCGAAGTAGATATTGCGATAGCTAATTCTCAATTTGTTTACTACAAAGTCCACTATATACCTTGGCAATTTAGTTTTGGTTATGTGGCAGTTTATGCAAAACATACCAAGGTGGAGCGGTCACAGTTATGGTTACATTTAGCAGCAGTTCTTGAAGACAACATGCCTATCCTTCTTGGAGGAGATTTCAATATGATTTCAAGCATTTCTGAGTACAGGCGAAGTGCCTCCTCGAAGCTGGGAATTATCTCGGATTTCTCGGGATTCATAGGTGACAACTCCCTAATTGATTTGGATACAATTGGAACTTAGTACACCTGGCACGGGGTTCGCAATTCAGGGCTGGTTTGGAAGAGACTAGACCGCTTCCTGATGAATTCAGCACTGAGGGATTACTTCTCGGACTTGCGTATTTAGGTTCTAGCAAAAACTTCGTCTGATCACTCCCCAATCTTATTAAGTGGGACTAATGTGGCCTTGAGCTTCCCTAAGCAGTTCCGGTTTCAAAGTATGTGGACCACTCATTCTGGTTTCAAGGATGTTGTCAAAACGAGCTGGACTTTGCCGACTGATGGAGGTGGTATGCGAGCCCTAGCCTTCAAGATCAAGCGCCTCAAACAAGCCATCAGAACATGGAACAAAGACACTTTTGGCAATGTCTTCGACCGTGTTCGAGATTTGGAAGTTATTGTAACGGAGGCAGATAGATCTTTTGATGATTGACCGTCGCCGGAGAATCGGGCATTGTTGCACAAGCACCATGCGGACCTTCTTTTGGCCCTAAAGCAACAGGAAATGTTCTGGAAACAAAAGGCCCGGGTGAAGTGGCTTAAGGAAGGGGATGCAAACACTCGTTTCTTCCACACAGTGGTAAAGGACAGACACCAGAGGTAGAGAATTTTTGCAATCAGGAACGACTCGAGCAATATTCTTTCAAATCTCAAGCGGATATACAGGAAGAGGCTGTCTCTTTCTATTCTAAACTTTTCACGGCTAAGGATTGCACTGGTCTAGAACCTTTATTACGTTGCCTACCGGAGGGGCTGGGCCCTTCTGACATTGCAACTTTGACAAGGCCAGTCACCCGTTAGGAAGTCAAAGGTGCGGTTTGGAAACTAAACCTAGATACCGCTGCTAGCTCGGACGACTTTTCGGGAGCCTTCTTCAGACACTGTTGGTACATAGTTCAGGACGATGTCTATATGTCGACTCTAGTCTTCTTTGCAGGCATCCCGATTCCGCGTGCTATGGCCAGTGCTCAGCTTGTGTTGATTCCCAAGAAGACCAATCCGGATACCTTTGTGGATTTCAGCCCAATATCCCTGTGCACCTTTATCAGTAAGGTCTTCACGAGAATTATTGTGTCTCGGGTAAGTGCTGTCTTGCCGAATGTGATTTCTAGAGAGCAAGCCAGGTTTGTGGAAGGACGAAGCATTCAAGATAATGTCCTTTTAGCTTTTGAACTGCTGCAATACATTGACAAACGATGACGGGGCTCGAATGTGGTTATCAAGCTGGATATGATGAAGGCTTTTGACAGAGTATCGTGACCTTTCCTTCAGGCGGTACTTACCAGAATTGGATTCCCGGAAAGCTTTAGAAGGCTCGTCATGAACAATCTGGAGGCAACGCGGTTTTCAGTTTTGGTTAACGGGGTTAGCTGTGGTTTCTTCCAGATGTCAAGAGGAGTTAAACAGGGAGACCCGCTTTTGCCGCTTTTCTTCATTCTGGTCTCGGAAGCCTTGTCTCGGTTACTCATCCTTAGTATGGGAACGAGCGTGCTCTCCCCCTACTCGACGGGATTGCATTGCACGATCGTATCTCACTTGGCTTTCGCCGATGATATACTAATCTTCGCCAATGGTTAGTCCAGTTCTTTAAGGGCGTTGACAAGGATCTTAACACAGTACACGGCTGGTTCTGGGCAAAGAATCAACTACAAAAAAAGTTTCGTTGTCACTTCCAAGCATTGCACGGCAAGGCGATCTGCTGATATGTCGCATGCACTGGGCATGCAGCGCTTGTCGCTGCCATTCCAATACTTGGGCGTGAATATGTTTCCCGGGAGAAATAGGATTCTTTTCTATCAAAATCTGTTGGAAAAAGTGGATGCCAAATTGCAAGGGTGGCAACAGACTCACACTCATAAAGCATGTCCTCTCCATGATACCTCTCTACACGATGGTCTCGGTAGTCCTGCCACACCACGTTGAACAGTCACTAGAAGCAAGGTTTGCGAGGTTTTTTTGGGGCACAGCCGACGGAAAGCCGAAGCGTCACTGGGCAAGCTAGAGCAAAATCTGTTTGCCCACGAAAGAAGGTGATTTGGGAGTTCGTTGCCTATCGACAGTTCTGCGAGCCTGCTCGGCCAAACTCTACTTCGCCTTCTTGAAAGCGGGCTCCTTGTGGAGTACTTTTATGCAGGCAAGCTATCAGGAGGGGCAATCTACCTCCTGCTCACTCACCTGGAGGCGTATGCAGCAAGCGAGGGCTTTTGTTGAGGAAAATATTACATACATTTCAGAGGACCTTGTCTGGCAGCTCTCATCGTATGGCAACTTCACATTCTCTTCAGCTTATGAAGCCCTCCGGCCAAGGACGTGCACCACCCTTTCTTCGGAATGTATTTGGGCGAGCAGAGTTCCTTCAAAGGTATCGGTGTTCATGTGGAAACTTCTGAGAAGGCTGCTCCCGTTCCCGGATGTGCTTGAGAGATTTAGTATTTGTTTGCCTTCGGTGTGCCCTTTCTACCTCAGTGCAAGCGCGAGTCTTGAACATTGCCTCTTGCTTTGCAGCAGAGTTCGTGAGGTCTAGGAGCACTTTGGAGGTTATTTTGGCTTAAATCTGCTCCCTCCCGTTTCTTTACGTGCACCTTGTCACTCTTGGTGGTTGCTTCCTTCTTCCACTCTTGCGACTCGCCACAGTTTGCCTTGCCTTTTACTATGGTTTGTATGGGTTGCATACAATGAGTGCCTCTACGATGGTTCAGCTTTCTCAGCTTCGGGCTTAATTAAGCGAATAAGTCGGGAATCGATGCTCATCTCCCTGGCTCGCTCCATTTGCGCTCATGGCGCTGCTAACAGTTTTCTTCTTTCTGCGGGATTGGTGGCCAGATTCAACACGTCACTGCGGAAATTTTCTATTTGGGTTAAGTGGCTGATGGGAGGCTGAAACTCAACACGGGCGCCTTCTTCACCCCCGAAGGTACGGCAGGAGGTGCTTGTCTAAGGAACTCGCGTGGAGTCATGGTTGCTGCTTTGTGCTTCAATCTATCGGCCCCATCTGCTCTAGAAGCGGAAGCACTGGCTTTGCAGTTTGCTCTACAATGGTGTGAAACTGTGGTGATGCTTCCAGCCTTCGTGGAAGAAAACTCCCTGGTTCTTGCTCAACT